CCCCCGTCCTTCTGCCGCTCTCGTGTCTGATAACTGATGAAGAACCCAAGAGCTCTTGAGTCAATCCGATAAACATGATCAATCATAACAGCTACATTAAGACATGCTGATTTAATTGCTTGACTTGTGCAGATAATGTAGTTTCTGAAAGACTAATGAGAATAGACTATTTTCATGCACGGCGAGGAAATATTTGTAGTGGATTAGGAAAAATGGAGAGGAAAGGTTGTTGAAACATTCTAATATTCCGACTTAATATGTACAGACACCTATAAGTAAGTCATTTGCTGGATGATTTGCGTGAAACGCAACTATCTATTTGAATGGGCATCCCGACACAACACTGGCCTGGCGTGGCCTGGCGTGAGGTAGGGGGTGGGACTGACTTTTGGTCCAACAAATGGTAGATCAGAGGAGTATTCAGGAAAACAAACAAAAAAAACAATCAATTTGCAATTCCATTTAATGATGTCAACGGTCATTTGATGATCTGCCATAGAAACACATTAACAAATGTCAGCTCAGCACAATTGTTCACTGACCAGTGCTGACTGAGACACACACACTGAGGAAACCCCATGTACTCTTTTACTGAGCGATCATCAAAGACCATTAAATCAAGTGAGTGTCCACAGAGACAGGAAATTGAGGAGGGGATTACGATCTTTGCATGATGAGGAGGGGCAAGATTTATGTGTCATTTACCGAGAAGATTGTAAAACTTAATTACAGAAAGTTCCCTCACTCACACACACTCACACACACACACACACACACACACACACACACACACACACCCCTAACTGCACATAGAGCACTATTCATCTATACCCTCTCTCACATTCTCTCCATTTTTCCATTCCCCATCCATCCATCTATCCATTGACCCTAAAAAAGCCCAGCCCTGGAAATAATGAACAATTAAATCATCAAGAATAGAAACGAAAGCAAAAAACTCAAGTTGTAACAAGCAGAACACCTATGTCAAGTCGGAGTGAACTGCCATTTGAAAGTTATTTTAATTTCACAATACAATGTATTTTCAATACATTCAATGAGGAAAAATGTGGGGCGGGACTTAATTTGTTCTATTAGGAATTAATTTGATTGTGAAAAGTGAGAGTTACACTACAGCTCAAAAGACTTCTTAGTCATTTGGGCAGAAGTCTCTTATACTCACTGAGGCTGTATTTATCTGATCACAAATACAGTAAATACAGTACAATTTAAAAGAACCGTTTTCTATTTTAATATATTTTAAAATCCTTTATTCATGTGATGGTAAACCTGAATTTTTAGCACCCATTACTCCAGTCTTCAGTGTCACATGATTCTTCTGAAATCATGCTGGTTTTGGTTTCCACAAAATGATTAAGCAGTAAAAACGTTGTGTTTTCATGTTTCATGTTGGTTCTCAACATGTTTCTTGAGCACCAAATCAGCATATCAGAATGCTTTCTGAAGGAGCATGTGTTCTTTGAAACGGTAATAATAATTCACAATTTCAACAGTTTTTACTGTATTTTTGATTAAGTAAATGCAGCCTTGGTGAGCTAAAGATACTTAAAATTAAAAAACGTAAAAAGTCTTAATTCCTAAAAAATTTGAATGGTAGTTGGAGCCAAATTGAATGTGAGTCTGCTTAAACATTCCCTCAATAGCTACATGCTCATTGTCCAACAAGCAGCACATTTGAATAACATTACTAAGACAAACACTGAAACATCCACCAATTTCCTCATTTGCAATGATACCAAAAAGTGCTTTAAAAAAAGTATATTGACTTTAATAGTTCAACCTCATTATGGCTCTCAAATGAAGAGTAATTCCTCCCAAACCTTGTCGGTTTGACAAACGTAAAGCGCTTACTCAACAAGGTGTATATAAAACTTGAGCAGGCTCTTTAGATGAACAGCATGCCCAGAACCTTTGCACCAGGCCTAATTACTCTAGTTGCTCTGAGGAGAGGGCCGCCCGTTTCTATTCATCCCGGAAAGACCCTGCACCAGATGTTTCTGAAAGGGGGATCTCTTTTCTTCTCTTCTCCCCTTCTTTCATAAGTCAGTGACTAACTTTTTGACCTCCCCTCCTTTCTCCTGCAGGTCTTGTGTGTGAGGGTCAGGGAGAGGTGGTGAGGTTATAGTGAGGTCGGGGCACATTCAATTCAGCACCAACTACACCTCCCCTCCCGGCCTCCTCCGTGCCACATCCATCTCTCCTCTCGTCTCTCTCCTCCCCCTGTTCCTTCAGACAGCCCTGAAGAGCCACAGATGCCGTTCCCCTCTGTTTTCTGTAATTCATCTTCAGGAGGGGGGACACAAAGAGGATGCTTGTCGGACTGAGAGGAAGAAATACGACTCTCTCTACCTTCCCGCACAATACGACCAAACAATAAACACTGCTTGTGTACACACATCATGACAGAATAATGTGGCCATAAATACCAATACAGACACTCCCTCTCGTAACGTCTCTCCTTCCTACATGCAGAGACACACACATCGTAATCATACTACACCGCTCTCGGCTATCAATTTGTTTTTATTTCGTAGTATCGATGTCAATAAAAGTTCAATATATGACACTTGCTTACTCCATTGGTAACACTTACAATACATTTGATGAAGTATTCGGTATCAGGAACTAACAATTATCAATTTTTAACAGCATTTATTAATCTTGGCTAATGTAATATTTTACTTTGTATCCACTATATATCGGTTAGAGATTTTTTATTTAAATTTTTTAAATCTCAAATTTTTAAATAATTTTTTTTAAGTGTTTTAGTGTTTTATTTGACAAAATACATTGGCCTTAACATGAACATAATGATCGGCTTATTAGTATCAACCATAACATTAATAATAAGTGCATCCCAAATTATCAGTTCAAATGAATGCATCACCAGACGTATAATTTGTAATGTATGAAATATATCTGCATGTACAAAATAGCCTTGACCGAGATTAATAATTGCTGTAAAAGTTTTGTTCATTGTTAGTTCATGTTAACAATCGTGATGATTAATGTCGACATAACCTTTGCTGTAAAGTTTCAACAGTCCAGATCACAATCCAAGCATCTGTCACCAACATTTCCTCTTGTCCTGAGTTATAAAACAATTGCTGCTTACATTGAAAGGTGCTGTCTGCTTCTGTGTAAATGCAACACAGCTGATTTACATAACCCAGACAAAACTACAGCCCCGACACAATGAACGATGTTTAGATAGACCTTAAAGGCCTTCATACAACAGCTATATTTGTGCATGCACTGCTCGCTGATGTTATAAAGCAAATGGTATTAAGTCTGTTTTGCTCACTTCCATGATTTGTTAACAACACAAGGTGACTAATGGCATTTTAAGTGTCTCTCCATCAGTTTGAGCTTTACTACACCATTGGTCTGTGTAAATACTTCCACACATGCATAAACAATGACCTCGGCTCTGATTGGTCAGAGTGTTTGCTCTGATGGAATGAGCAGTTTGGCTTGGTGAAGCACAGACTGAAAATAGCCAGGCCCCTGGCGTGGGTTTGAATCACTCATGCAGTTTATAGGGCACTGAACAGGTTTAATGAGCCACAGATAAATCTGATATTTCAGTCATTTCCCACAACACGCGGTCTCGATGCCTAATAACGACTTAGTTCATGATAGCACCTTATTTAAAGTCACTCCATTTAAGTACGAGCGCAAACACTGGGTCCAGCTGCATGGATTCAGTGTAACTCACCTAGTTTCTTGAAACTGTTTCTGTAATTACTGGATTTTGTACCTTAAAATAAACCAGGGTATGCAGGCCTAAAATACAGAGGCCTGCTGTCCTGAAGCAGCCAGTTCCCCACCCATGAGCCGGGATGAGGTTAAACTCACATTTTACCAACACCATGTGCACGCACGTGTGAGCGAGCGCATATTAGCAATGGCAGTTTGTTATAGGGAGTCATCAGTAACTGTCCCTATGATGCCAGAAGCTTAATTAACCCTCTCTCTCATTAGCACTCTCTCTATACGGCTCTCTCTCACTGGCTAACTCGCTTTCTTCCTCTCTCTCCGCTCTAGTCTCGCCCAATTACTGAGCCCAAATGGAACAGCATTAATCAAATCTTTAGTGCAGCAGCATGCTTTGAAATATCAGATTACGCAGGGCTGCAAAACTAATATGTCACTGTCACCGAGCTCGCGCAGGCATTTAGAGGCTAGCATTAACAAGATGGCTAACGTCACGAGCGTCTGTGCGCTATGTGGAACGCCGCTCTAGGGGCCATTAGTAAGACAAGGAAGAGGATAGCAAAGGGTTCTGCTTTCACTCTGCGCTCATTTTTTAAGCCCCCTTTCTTCTTCTCCTTCTCCTTCCTCTTTGTCTTCTGCTTCTCTTATTGTCCTGTCAAAAGGCTCGCGCCGCAGATGAGGAAGAATGGGCAAGACAAACGGCCCGGTGAGAAAGGCTCGAAGGAGATTAAGCAAAGGGAGGAAACGGAGGTCAGCGAAGGAAAGGAGTTGGTGCCGAAAGGAGGACAATGACGCAAAAAGCACGAGGAAGGAAATAGGAAAAGATGAGTGAAATCTTGAGCGGATGGACGGACAGATTCCGGGTGGAAATGTGCTGACCTGTAGGCATGTGCGCCTGGCATAACGGCTGCTTCTATGTGGTGTCAACACTTTTCTCAGGGTGAAAAAAGAGAGAGCGAAGAAAAAAGATGGCTCTGTGAGAAAAAAAATGTGCTGTTACACAGGGAGTTTGGGCGTGCTCTGTGGCAGGAGGCAAAATAGATGACAGTGTAATGATATTAAAAGCGCAAAGTTGTTAAGATGCCAAGTCAAGGCCCCATAAATCCAGCCAGGGCTCCCACTGCCTGTCCCCACACCGCGTAATTAAATCTGATTTATGAGGCGTATTACAGCAGTGAGAGATAGTTCATATTCCAGCTCTGCTTTATTAGACAGCCTGACAGGCGCCAAAAAATATTGTCGAAGTTGCCTCGGCCCAAGCCGCCAAAAAGCCTTGCTCCGCACTCTGTCTTTTGTTGTGTCAGTCCTCCCTTCCTGTGATGGATTAGGCACTCTTTCTCACTCTTTCATTCGCTCTCCATCTCCTCCCTCAGTCAGAATGTGGTGGAACAGCCCCTTGTGACACAGCCAGACAGCTTCATCTTCATCAGTAGCCCCCAACGCCTCCACGCAGCCCCCGCTCCCGCCCCCCCGCTGGGCCGAGAAGGAAAAGAGGGAGGGCACAGGTGTGGAAGAAAAGAGCCGTTTGAGAAGTGAGAAGTAAAAATACAAAGAGACAAGGTTATTGTAGTCAACTAAAACTAAAACCATTGTAAAGCGTTTTTGTCACTTGAAGTCAAACAAACATTAACTTAAATATATAAATACATATAAATGTAAACTTATTATATTTTAAGCAAGTTGCTGAGGAACTAATTATTTTCATTTAGTTTAACTTGATGTTTTTTCCCTCTATATTTCAATTACCGCATAGTTATTTTTTATTTGGTGTCTGTTCTCTTTATTATTAGTGTAATATTTAATTGTATTACCTTAAATTATATGTATGTCTGCACTATGTCTGTACTTTCTGCACTAGAAGCTCCTGTCACCAAGACAAATTCCATGTGTGTGTAAACACTTGGCAATAATGATCTTTCTGATTCTGATGTAAAAAATTATATAGACATATTAAACAAAAATGACAAACATATTAAACAAATGACATAACAAAATTACTTAAAATTGAAACTAAAACTGCAAACTGAAAATTAAAAAAAAATCTAACTTTTAATAAAAATTATATTAAAATAACACTAGAGACAGAAGCATGAAATCAGATGCATTTCGTGGCGAATTACACCACTTTACTTTGATTGGAACAAAAGAAAGTGAAATCTCAACATTTCTGTCTTTTCGCTGACAAAAACACTTCTGTCTTGTTGTGTTCTCGCTGGTTGTCCCGAGGCTGCTGCTTCAACAAGTACTAGAAATCTGAAGATCTTGTCTGATGTAGAAACACATTAAATATTTGAGCAAGCTAAATTGATTTTTCTTTCTAAAATTCACTATCACTTACGTATTTTCAGAGAACCAAAGGGCCTCTCATAGTCACCCACACAGCTCTCCAATGATTAAACCCGAGAGACACAACAGGAGAGAAAACATCTCACCAGCAGACCTTAAAGATTAGAGAGAGAGAGAGAGAGAGAGAGCAAGAGCAGATAAAAGAAGAAAGTGCAGCAGGGAAAAAAACACCAGCTGATGTTAACGAGCTGGGACACTTTTATTATCATTATTAATTAGAGCTTTTCAAGCAACAGAATTAAATCAATACGCTGGAGTGAAACAAATTTCAGAAGGCCGCTCAGATCAATCAGGAAGGGTTTTTATCTGCGTAACTGCCACTGAGCTAAGCTCGTTAGTGAAACAGTCGTTAACAAGGCACTTGCGGCAAGAGGATAGATCTGAGCTATTTCTAATTAGGAGGACATAAACCCAGCAACCATTTCTCCTCTCTGATTAACTGTTAAGTTCATTTGTGATTTTACCCCCTCCTACTATCCTCTTTCTTTGTCTGTCACAAACACACAGACACAATCCCAATTTCTCATGTAGATCTATTTTCTCTTCTCATCGGCTTCTCGCTTTCTCTCTCAGCCTAGCCATTAAACAGGATTAAATGCTTGCAGAGATTCTTGCCTTGTGTTAAATGATTGCGTCCTTATAAGGGTAAATTAGACCATTTATCATGAGCCCGTCCTCTGGGTGCGCTGCAAGTCGTTAGCCATCTACCGTCATGAAATAATTAGTTTTACTATTAATGTAGCAAAGCTCAATGATCATGAGTGGCCACATGTCCCCTTACACTGGGATTAATTGTATTAATGTGCTCAGATGCTCACTAAAGGCCTTTAAAAAAGGATGAAATGTTAGCAGGGCTCTGAAACATGGAACAGTCTTGAGCAGATAATAGCACAGAAAGATTCAGCGCTGCTTCCCTTTTATATCGTCTTTAATACCAATAGATTATAATAGTGCATACTGATGATAATGGCTGAAATGGCTATATTATGAATACAGCTCTTACGTGGCACGCATAGTTCTAATATAACATTGTAAAACAGATGTAGTGCTGACTCTAAATTGGATTTGATATTACACATCAACAACATTTTTTTCTGATTGGAAAGTGCCATGTTATGTTGTGTTATATTAATAAGAAATTGCCGTTGCTCTTATTATTACTAATAGTAGGGGTGGGCAATATGACCAAAATCTTGTATCAAGATATGAGTAATTTTATTTCACAGTAATTCATAAGTATATATATCACATCACAATATAGTTACACATCACTTACTTCTGAAGACAAGTAAACAGTCAGCTAATAAATAAGAATAAGAAACAAATTCCAAGCAACTGGACAAAAAACTACACTATCACAAATAAATAAGAAATGTTACATACATTGTATAAAGTAATCAAATGTATAAAAACACTGCATATTCTTCACTGTGTAAATTAGTCAAGAGTAGTGAGAGATTTTCTCTCGTTTATTGTTTGATTAACACAAATGACAGACAGCAGGCATGTTAGACTGAGAGCTGCCCGGATCCAACATACTGTTACATGTTTTATTTCTCAGCTGTTTGCTTTCACTTAAGACCTAAATTACTGTGTTTACAAGGATACTTGCAAAGATGGGAATTTTGACACATACAAGTGTATTTAACCATTAAAGGTCTATAAAGCAGCAAAAATAACCCGCGCCCAATGAGCACCTTCTTCAATTACTTATTTTTAAATCGCAATGCTTAAAAATGTGCGCAAATGATACGTTTTCGTGACTACGAAGCACAGCAATGTCACGTGAGCTTGTAACCGCGATAGAGATGATAGTCCAAAATCTCTATCAGTTGACACATTTTTACTGGTTAATCATGTCTACTGGTATATCACCCACTCCAAATAGTAATACAAATAATTTCTTATTGATATAACATGATATAAAATATAACATGGCACTTTCCAACATGTCAGAGAAGACCAATTACCCATAAAAACATCTCACTCATATCTTATAACATTGTATGAATGTTTGCCATTTCTAATTTCAAGCCAGTTCTAAGAATGATTGAAAACAATACCAAAACATAAACTGATTCCCCAGTTGTTATCATTTTTACAAATTTTAATTAGAGAGAAATAACAGGGAATGAGTGACACCATAAGTGATCATTGTTGATGACCCAGTTCTTGAGGCAGTGTTATTAACCTAATGAAGAACAATGCTTGACTTGAAGTCCACAGCTGTTCCAGCCTCACAAACACCAGGAGGATGAGATGGAAAAAATTCCTCACAATGTAAGAGGTGACACTGTGTGTATGAGCAACCACAGAGGGGTAATGTTAACAGAGACATAAAGGCTAAATGCTATTGGTGACGCTGGCTTTTTCCTATGAGCATTGTGATTAACCTACTGCTCCAGGTCTGCCTCTTGACCCTCTCTACACGCTGACCTCTACATCCTAGCACTCTTTCACAGCGGCTCTCTGCGGGCTGTAGCTGTAGTCATAGTAGGCCGCATCTGGGGCCTGTAATCAACATCATGACACATTAGAAACAGTGACAGAATCCCCCCGTACTCGATTGGAGTTTTACTATGGGTCAGAAACAGAGCCAAACTCCCTTCAGCATAGGATGTCTGTTTTTGTCCTTCATTCGTCTATTGTTTTAGGGTGTGATCTAGTTTCAAACAATATCTGTTTATCTAAATGTCTATTTTATCCAAGCCCAATTTTTATACATAAAAAATATTCAAACATGAGTGCTGCTTGCATGTGCACAGTTCTAGTGTGTTTTAGTAAGTCAACAGGACGTTGCTATGCAGTCTGCACTTATTGTAAGTGCATGGAAAGGCATTACTCTGTGATTGCTAGGATGCTGCCAATGATTGCTTACCAGGCCAAGTTAAAAGAGCTCACCCAGATATCTCTATAATGTTTTGTTTACATCCAAGTTATACATACCGAATGCTTAGGTTAGGGGTTTAGAATAAATAACTAAAGTAAGCATGAAATGGAAAGTCACCCTATCTGTTTTCTAAATTGATTTTATTGTGAACAATTCATCCATGCAATGATAGATTTCTCTCTGGTGATGTTTGCCAGACTTCTCCAATTATTTAGTCCGCTTAAACCATGCAAGCTCATAGTCTGATATGTCTCCATTCAATCAACAACCGATGGATAGAAGTTTCCACTCAGATGTACAGTGCACAAAACAAAAGAGATGTGTTGCTACTTCTGTTTCATCTTGACTTCGCCATAATTTACTCAATATCAAAATGTTCCAAACCTGTATCAATTTCTGAACACAAAAGAAGATATTTTGAAGAATTTGAGTGACCCAACTGTTTTTGTTCCCCAGTGACTTACATAGTATTTTTTTCCCATACTATGGAAGTCAATGAAGACCCGTTTGGTTACCCACATTATCCAAAATGTCTCAGTTTATGTTCAACAGAAAAAACTAACTCATAAAGGTTTGGAATAACTTGAAGGTGAGTAAATGATGACAGAAATTTTATTTTTGGGTGAACTATAACTTGGGCAAAAATACTGATTATTATTTAATTGCTCCAATACCAAAAAATCCATTTAGCTAACTTTTCAGAGACATAACTTTGGAACTGTGAACAATTTTTAGTGCAAAAAAACTGTCAAACATATGAGTAATTAAATATCAAATTGTTAATAATATATACTTTTGTGTTGTTTGTAGTTCTGTTAAGCCTCAGGTCCTTGATGAGTCAAAGCGAAGTATTAACTAATGTAGTAAACTTAGTGTGAATCATTACTTGAAGTCAGTGATCCAGAATCACACTCCAGCAGATGAGACCAATTCTTATGAGACCAAAAATTCTTACCCATTACTGATGCATTTTCTTATTCTTTTTCTCCTTCTTCTTTGTTCCAGATCCTACCATCTGATTGTTGCCTAATGAATAGGCCATGTCTGAGTGCAAAGATCCTGCTGTACCCTAAGACAGATCGAACATCTGGACCCAAAAGAAAGATATAACACCAGTGTCATCACAGGCTGTGACTGCTTAACCAATCCATCTGCATTACGCGCAGCACATGTGCGAGGGAGCTGAAGTGTGCCGTTTTCAAAAGTCTGGTTTATGTGAATAAAATACACATAATTTTTTTGGGGGGTGGGTTCATGTGTGTGTGCACGCACATGTGTGTGCAGTTGCAACACTCTGTGGCAATGTGCAATGTGCAACAAAGCCACTACATCACTGTAATTAGTTTTGTCATTCTCTCTCCCTCACTCACTCACCAGCTCTAATGTAATACAGAGCTCAGGCCAGGCCAGCAAGGCCATTAATGAGTCACACTGACACTGACACAGCCTCCAGGACCCCAGTGCTTTTTACTGTCTATCCGCAGCCATGACATCAATTAATCACTCATTAATCCTACCCCCTACACCGGCCTTACTGAGAGGGGGCAGGGGGTCGTGTATGATCCAAATTTTATCCATGCAGAAAAGCAGAATGGCTGACAGAGCTGAAAACAGACTTGTAATGAAATATAAGCTATATACAGTGGGTACGGAAAGTATTCAGACCCCCTTAAATTTTTCACTCTGTTATATTGCAGCCATTTGCTAAAATCATTTAAGTTAATCATTAGTTTTCCTAATTAATGTACACACAGCACCCCATATTGACAGAAAAACACAGAATTGTTGACATTTTTGCAGATTTATTAAAAAAGAAAAACTGAAATATCACATGGTCCTAAGTATTCAGACCCTTTGCTGTGACACTCATATATTTAACTCAGGTGCTGTCCATTTCTTCTGATCATCCTTGAGATGGTTCTACACCTTCATTTGAGTCCAGCTGTGTTTGACTATATATATATACAGTATATATTCAAAAATAAAACAAAGGCTCGATTATAACAGGGAATGCTCACTTTTCACAATCCAAGGAATCCAATCCATTTCCAATGGAATGAAATCCTGCCCTAAATTATTTTTCTCTCTTTGAAACGGCATCTCAAATAGATTTGAACTAGGAGAAACTGTTTAAACTCACTTCAAATGTTATTGTTAATTATGCACTTTAGAAACAAGACAGATAAGCAAAGAACATGTCCTTA